GTGGGCAGGGACGATGGAACGGTTGAGGTCTATGGTTTCGACAGCGCCAGTGAGCCCACGTTACGCTTTGAGCACGTGAGTTTATTTATTAAAGCCATGCCTGACAATTATAAGAAAAGAGTTTTTAATATTTTATAAGATTAAATAGTATTAGATATTGTTGATGGCCAAAGTTTCCTGTCATTCCTGACTTCAGGTTTTGTCAGAGAGCGTGACTTCCATCCAGGGTGGCTGCGTGGGGAAGGAGTCTTATGATGAGGTCCTGACTGCCACTTACACAGGTTAGATAACAGCACGCCTAGTGTCCAAGAAAATGTGCTGCTTGTCAACCTGTCTATCTGCATTACTGCATTATTAGAGAGATGGAGTAATGTCTTGCACTGTCTGACAAGTAGTATAGTACTTAAAACCCAACCGGTAAGTGAAATAATAGAGAGGGATCTGTACAGCATATTCTACGTTAATGTCATTACCTCGTTCAGGATGGGTGACTGGTTTGACCACTGAGCCCCAGAAGGCTGAGGTTGGCCCCGGGGATGAGATCCGGATGAGTAAGGAGACCCATGCCAAAGTAGAAGCACTCAGGTATCAGAAAATTGAGCTTTATTTCTCATTCTAACACGTGTCCTTGTACCCATTAATGCGTTTGACTTACTACTTAATGGCTCAAGTACAATTTCAGAACAGATCTGTTCTTCAGTCAGTCATACATGTTCCCTTCCAGGGCAGAGCTGGAGCAGCTGCAGGTCAAAGTCCTGCAGGGCCGTGAGCAGTACCAGCAGACATCCCAGTCGAGCACAGCCGTCTCCGCTGTGCCCGTCTTTAGCATCAATGACAAGTTCACCCTCTGCCAGGACGATGCCAGCTACAGCCTCACTCTTGAGGTGCAGACTGCCATCGACAATCTGCTGCTCCAGGTCTGCTCATTAATAAATCCCTGTGGTTGCAAACTCTGGTGCCTACCGACTCTCCTGTTTATGAATAAACCATACTCTTGATGCCATGTTGCTGACATGAACAATCCAAATGAAACCTAAACATGACTCTCCTCTGCAGAGTGACGTCCCCATAGACCTGCTGGATGTGGATAAGAACTCAGCTGTGGTCAGTTTCAGTGAATGTGATTCAGAGGTGAGCT